ACCTCCCCCTTTTTTTTTTTTTTTGGGTTTTTTTTTTTTTTTTTTTTTTTTTTTTTTTGGTACTGGGGATCAAACTCGGATCCTTGCACTTGTGAGGCAGGTGTCAGAACCATTGAACCAAATTCCCAGCCCCAACTAATTTTTTTAATGCACACATAATTCTAGGTTGCTATGTTAAAGTATTTAGTTTTAAATTCTATTTCTGTAACATGAGCTAAACTGAATAAGAAAGCCACTTAAAAATATCTTTGGGGAGACTTCTACCATAGGACATTTGATTGCTTATGAGAGATCATAGAACAAAGTTCTCTCTGGGTCTGGGCATAATTTATTTTGCTCAGCAAAAAGCCCTAATAGATTCATAACGCAACTAAAGGTATGTAGGGTCCACCCTTCCCATTTTGTACTGTATACATCTGCTTGGAGCTGGCTAGGAACCTAGGAGGGAGGGACCATAACAGAGTAATCATTAAATTTATGCCTTTTGTTGACCTGAGGCTAAGCTGAAGTAATTTTCTTCAGAGACTTGTCTGAAGCCTTTCTGAACAGCCACATTAGCTGAATTTGTAGTGAGGGAGTCTTTACATTCATCCCGTCTCCACTGGCTGGCTGTGTGACTGTGGCAAGTCACTTTGCTTCCCCCACTGTTCAGTTCCACCACAGAACAGAGGCTGCATGAGAGATGTGTTCTCCAGTCTCTTCTCAGCTCAACGTTCTTTGACTTTTTTTAAAAAAATGTTTTCTCACATGTCTGTGCTGAATCAAATGTCCAAGGACAGGGCTGTGAGAGCTGATCATAAAGAAGCTCAAGATTTTTCTTCTCATTTAGTTGAGTCTGAGAGTAAGTGAAGGGCTATACTTGAGCTAAGTTAAATATGCACAAATAAAAATAGTTTGTTACCCTGATTTCTAGTTGAGGCTTGCTAAGACTTGAGCCACAGTTTGAAGGTAAGTTTAAAGAGGGAACCCAAGGGGTGGGAGTATGGATAGAATCTTTAGAAATTGACTAGTTCCAGGAGTCAAGGTGAGAATATCCTTTATTCCCCAAACATTTCTTTTCTCCGTCAGGTCCTGAAACTTGAACCCTCTTCGGAGTGTATGCTTCTGCTCTTTTGTGATGCCCCGGCATACACTATGCTGGGGACATCACACCAGTCATGGAACCTGCCCAGGAGTCAGGAGGCAGCCTGTAGGGGCAAGGTAAGTGCGCTGGTTTGTTTTGTAGCTATGTTGTGTGGCTTTGTGAAATGTTAAATATATGCATTTATGCCCTTTGGGATATAAAGTGGCATTTAATCATTATATCCCAAGAAGCATAATAGTTTTAATTGTGCAAAACCGCACAATATAGTTAAAAAATACAACCAAAAGCACAACCCTTATGCATATTTTTAAAGTCTGACTGCATCTTCCTGAAAGGTTCCATGGCTGGTGTCACATCTCTTGCATAGTGTTTGTGAGAGCTGTTGATCCCATCAGGGGCAGCCCACCACAGCACCTCAGAAGTGAGGAGCAGTGAGTTTTTACGTGATTTTTGTGCCGAGTGCCTCTTTGGAGTGTATTTGGCATGGAAACTAGACTTGATAATTCTTTTTGCAGGATGCTTTAACCTTAGCTTTAATGGCTGCAGAATGTTTGTGTTTGATAAAACAAGTGAGTGAATGAGTGGCAGCTCTTTGGGCTGACTTGCCTCTTACTATTTAGGATGTGGGAATATTCAGCCTTCACCCTTCTGTTTAGGGGGTGCAGGACAATGTGTGTGGGTGTGTTCATGAACATCTGGCCACAGAATGGTATGACTGATTTATTCACATGTGAATAATAGCTGACACGGCTTTCTGAATTGTGGAAAAAACAGATTCATCGAACAGGCCACATCGGACAGTGTTCACACGAGCCATCGAGGCATGCGATCTCCACTGGCAGGATAGCCACTTGCAGCACATTATCAGCAGTGACCTATACACCAACTACTGTTACCATGACGACACTGAAAACTCCCTATTTGACTCTCGTGGGTGGCCCCTCTGGCATGGTAAGTGGCCAAACCGGAAAGACATTTCTATGACTTACTTCTTTGTTTAGTTTCTATAGCATTATTGGAGTGGGAGGTAGAGAATTAAGGGATTCAATAGGAGATGGATGAATGCTTGGCCACAGGAGCTGAGTTTTTTCATTCAAATCCAAGTTCAGAAATGGTTTCTCATGTCTTTTTTGGGTGAAACATCTTACCATTAAATCCTGTTTTTACAGATATATCTGACAGTGGCAACTTTACCCCTTGGCTTTCTCTTTCAGAACATGTCCCCACAGCCTGTGCAAGGGTGGATGCATTACGGTCTCACGGATACCCCAGAGAAGCGCTGAGACTAGCAATAGCTATTGTTAACACGTTAAGGCGACAGCAACAAAAACAGTTGGAAATGTTCCGGACTCAAAAAAAAGGTGAATGTGAAGAAGTGTTTTATTTTTAGTGGAATAGGACTCTTCATGATGACATCACTAGGTTTTGAGTTCTTTCAGGGGAGATGACTTAAAATGAGAGCCTCACAAATGGCTCTACCTACGATTCTTTTAAAAAATACTTCATAATTGATGTGTAAGAAATTTTAAGCTTTTATTTTCTTGGTTGAATATTGTAAGAAAATATTTTGACAAAAATCTCTTAGGGGGCTGGAAGTATATAGCTCAGTGAGCGAGTGCTTGCAAGTCCTTGGATACATTCCTTAGCACTGGGAAAAAATAACTTAGAAAATTTTTTTAAAGAAGGAAAGCTTTTTTAATTGAATAACAAATATTTCTGGATCATCTAAAGGCAAGTTAGTCAAATACCTTACTTTGTGAAAGTGCACCTGGATTCTGGAACAGGCCTATGATTATAGACTATGTATGTTTGAATCCCAGAAATAGTTCTCAGTTTGGCAACCTTAGGCAATGACTTGACTTCTCTGTGAGTTAGATGACTCTCCTGCAGAATAGGGCTCAGTAGAGGACCTGCTCAGTAGAGTTATTGAGAAGCTTAAACTAATTTCCATCAAAAAAAACCCTAAGGTATGGCATAATGTGTAAGCACTGTAAAACCTTTTAGCTGTAATAATTTGTACACAGGACATGTTTATTTAAAGTTACTAGAAGACAGTTCCTGAATTTTTTGAGTTCTGCAAATGGCATTTGGTGAGCTATTGACTGACAGAGCATATTTAACTCTTTATCTTGATTTATTAAACTTTTAAACTTTGAATAAGTACCATGATAGTAATCACAAAAGGTTGTATTTCATGCTTAAGACTCCAGTCAGATAATGAAATGTATATGCTTTTCCTAATTATGTATTTATTATTCTTTCCATACTTACAAATTTAGTTTTATATTTCTTTGGTCAGTTTGTTTCATTTTTATTCTGTAATCTTTTTTTTTGTTAAAAAGGCTAGTTTTAGTTCCTATTTAACTTTTGTGTTTTGTTTTTTGTTTGTTTTAGTTTACTTTGATTTTTAATCCTTGAGTGATTATATACACATCTTGCATTTAAATTATTAAAAGTTGTTGAAATAGACTGGATTTTGGAACAAGTATTTGTTGGAATTTTTAATGGCTTCTATGTTGAAAGTATTATGAATGCTAGCAAATGCTATTATTTATACAGTGAAGAACATTCCATTGTTACAATTTGAACCAAAGAAAGGGAAGTTCAGATGGGATTGGAATGTAAATAGCCCTGATATGTGATTACTTTGTTCAGTTATACATGTTCTTCACATCATCACTGGTGCTTGAAAAATATGTTGCTAGACCCCCTGAAAAATTTTTCAGAAACCCTTCTTTCCCTAAACACACACAATCTTTGGCCAAAAGCACTTATTTCTAAATAATACAGAGGATGATATTCAGGCTAGGAGAGAATACAACACTTTTGTTATACTACAAAAAGAACTAGCTCATTATAACCCTCTGATTTTTTGAATCATTATTACAGATTTTACTAAGAAATGTTTGTTTTAAAAATTTAGTAAAAATGTTGTGATATCTAAGAAATTTAGTTCATTTACATAAGTTAGAATGGATGTTAGGCTAGATTCCTTTAAATGTCTTTGAAACAGTTCTGTAGCTGAGGTCTGGACTCCTTTTAATCTTGTAAGCAGTGAAAATTTTCATTTCAGACTATTCTTAAATATTAATAGGATTATATGTCTATACCTACATCTTTCCCTGCGTTTTTACTACTATTGTTCTTCCATATTTATTGTTGTTTGTCTATATTTAAAGAGTAGGCTTTTTGTAGCTGTTCCAGGTCCAAAGTGCCATAATGACTACTTCTTACTGAGTCAGGATTAGCGAATACAGTACCTCAGTACTCATAATGCTATTTGCCATGACTTGTCAGCTTCTTGATTCTGAAAACATCATCCTCTTTTTTTAATTGTTTCTTGCATGTTCTCAGTTGTCATCACTGACAATAGATTTGTTTGTATAAATACAACATTTCCCTTAACTATATACATATTTTTGTTTTTACTAAACATAAATACTTGGCTTTTCTTGAGAGTAATACTCAAAGTTTGTTTTTTCATGCTAGTGATATATATGAAAGCCAGTGATAGAAACCAAAGGGACAGGTCTTTCCAAGAACTCTAGGACCCAAATTAGATATATTTTCATACATTGTGTCGTGTCATTTTTCATTTTTATGTAGTGATAGTTAATAATTCAAACCAGAAGACTTCTGAAGAAATGTTGAATTCAGGAACAAATCTGGCCATTTAGAAGTCTATATTTTCCTATATAATTTTTTGTATATATAGATTTTTTTCCTTTAAGAAAGAACTACTCCTATTTTAGTAGATACCCAGATATAAATAATACTTTACAACAGTGGAATATATCTTTAAAATTTTGCAGCTTTTTTTTGTCAGCACTCTTAATTATATTTGCAAGCACTAACATTTTGCAAAAAAATAAATAAAACTACTGTATTTCCTCTCAATATTGTCTTTGGATGTTATTCACCTTTGTGTGACGACTTCTCTCAAATGACTGACAGATCCATAGTAAGGAAGACTTTCCTAAAGTGATGGGGGATGCATGCCTTTAATCCCAGCACTCGAGACTGAGGTAGTAGAATCGCCATGAGTACCAGGCCAGCCTGGAATACATAGGGAGACACCACCACCACCAAAAAGAAAGTAACCGGGGGGAGGTGATTCAGTGATACTCATGTGAAAGTCCAAGTCTGACCCAGTTTGTTCTGCCCTCAGATCTCAGTTTAGATGAGACAGTGAATACAGACTCCTGAAGATGGCTTCTTGATTCATCCGGTGGATCGTTCCAAGGGATCTTCTTTATTGTCTCTAATGCTATTGCTAAAGAAGCAGGGATAATTGTCCTTTGTTACTCAGAAGAAAATACAGAATTTCTTTTTTCCTATACAACATGATTTAATAGTGTGGGTAGTGATATCAACTTAGCATACTGGACACGTGAATCAAATCTTTGTCTGGGAGCTGTCTTGGGAGTTTAGTGCCATTTATATTGATTTACAGATGAACCTTTAGAGTTCATAACTGTGCACAAGTTGGGGATTATGGTACCTTTAGATAGATTGCTTTTTTTAATTAAAGGGTTATGTCCATCTGAATTCGCAACTAATTCATCACACTGCAGTTATTAAGTGGCAAAGCATTCCTTACCCCTACATTGCATCTTCCCTCTCCCTTCCACTCCCATCTCTCAATCCCCTTTTCTTACACAGAGCTCCTCCACAAAAGCATCACCTCCATAACCAATCTGGAAGGCTGGGTTGGACATCCCCTGGACCCAGTGGGCACTCTCTTCAGCAGCCTTATGGAAGCCTGCCATACTGAGGAGGAAAACTTCCCTGGCTTTTCAGATTTTACAGGTAAAACCATTGGTACTTGTCTGGTTTTCTTTTCTTTTTCTACACCTTGAGTGGCATTAATCTTCATTTTTCTTTATGTTGTGTTTTATGAAGCCACATAGTTAACAGTCCTGTAGTCAGCAAGTGAGCAGGGAAATAGTATATTTGTGCTTTATAGTCAGACTTCCACAGACTGGTAAAATGAGCATAACAGCTGGCAGCATTCATAAAAAACCTAAAAATATTTATTTTCTTACCACTAGGGTTTCTACGTCTAAGAATTTATCTGTATTTATGACTATTTTCCAACATAGAGATGAAAAATAAAGATAGGCATCATAGAATTTAGAACTAGAAAATTTAATTTAGTTGCTTTTTAAATTGGTCTCACATTAAAAGTGACTTAAATATTTTGAGTGTACTTTAAGTTTATTAAATGCCATTTCAAACTGTTTTATTTTACATCACATAGTCCTTTAAAATGGTGCTTTGAGATTTCCCTTTAACTCTTTAAAAATTAAGAACCATCCCCCACCAAGACTGAACGGGAGCTATGGGCAAGGTAAGGAAGGGAGCGAGAACTGTCCTGCTGTTACTCTCACGGAGTGAACCTAGGTAACAAAAATACACCTTGAAATTGAATTACATTGTTACATTCTCTACACTTTTCATTATAAATTTCAACAGTATAGGGCTGGGGATTTAGCTCAGTGGTTCGGTGGCCTGCCTTGGAAGCGCAAGGACCTGAATTCAATCCCCTGTACCCGCCCAAAAAAAAATTTAAAAAAATTTTCAACAGTATAACTACAGTATGGAAACAATTTTTATTTTTAATTAATCCAGGGAATTGAACTCAGAGCCCCGTGCTTGCAAGGTAGGCATTGCGCTTGCAAGGTAGGCACAGTGCCACTGAGCCAAGTCCCCAGCCCAGGAAGCCATGTTTACAATGCCAACCTTTGAAATACTATTGATAGTTATATACAGTTTTACTATTGTTTCATTAAAATATTTTTTTGCTACTAAGCGTTCTTAGTATCATTCCTTTTTGCATTGTTTGGGGATTTTTTTGTGGGTTTTTTTTTTTTTTTTTTTTTTTTTTTTTTTTTTTTTTTTTTTTTGTCTCATTTTCAGTGGGAGAAGAAATATTTCTAATCGTCTCTCTTCCAAAAAGTACACATTTAATTATTTATGGTCACTTTTAAAGATACTGGAAAAGTATGTACTTTAACCTGAAACACATGCTTTCTCTGAATTAATGCAGTCATTCATTTACTAGTACTGAGTAGAATAAATTTTGTGCCTAAATACCCACACAAGTAGTATAGCTCTGATTTCTTTTGGGGCATTTTACAGAAAATATGGGACAGTGCAAGTCTCTGGAATACCAACATCTACCTGCACACAAATTCCTAGAAGAAGGGGAATCCTACTTAACGCTGGCTGTGGAAGTAGCCCTGATAGGGCTGGGGCAGCAGCGGATTATGCCGGATGGGCTGTATACCCAGGAGAAAGTTTGCCGGAACGAGGAACAGCTCATTTCTAAGCTTCAGGAAATTGAATTGGATGACACACTGGTGAAAATTTTTCGCAAGCAAGCAGTCTTCCTATTAGAAGGTAGCTTAATGAATAAGTTTTCCACTTAGCCAGTTTGATTTAGCTGCTCATCCTTATTATATTAAGAGTACTGTGTAAATGCATTTAATATGGTAGTTGTCTTGATAAGATCACAGAGTGTCAAAGACATGTTCATGTCTTTAAAAAATAGTGTCACTGAATAAAAAAGTACAGATGTTTAGGTTTGTATCACTTGATTAAGGATATCATGTAGGAATAGCCTATTGAAAATCAGTCCCATTTAATGCCATGGACTTTGATATTCCTGAGATAAGTGTAATTTTCATCTAATGAGTTATTACTCATTTGCTTGATCAATATAAAGTAGAAATTGGTTGACATTCTTGCAGAATTACTGGCTGTTACATAACTTCTGTGTTTTTAATAAGTCACATGCATATGCTAACAAAGAACAGAAGACTATAGGAGTAATTTCCATTAGGCATACTTCAAGGAAAATGTTTCAGAGAATCTTAAAGGCTAACTAATTTTCTTTCTATTTTTGGTACCTGGGATTAAACTCAGGACCTTGTGCTTGCAAGGCAGGCACAGTGCCACTGAGCTAAATCCCTGGCCCTTCTAATTTTCTTTCTATAAGGTCATTATTTAAATGGCCCCCAAAATTTGGCCTAATACTATTTTTCAATTTTTTTCTCAAAAAGGTAAATGAAATCAGTATAATAATCTAATCTTTGTGCAAATGTAGGAGATGTCTGATTGATAACATTGCTTCTTTATCTCAAGTACATGTGTGTTATCATGAGACATTTTTGTGATTGACATGCTGATAGAGGGTGGTATTGTCATATTCTGTCCTGAAAATGTGGGGAGGGCTTTAGAGAAAATAGCATTTTATAACCTCCTTTATTTGTCCAAAGTTTAAGATCTATTTGAAAGAAAATATTTTCTTCAAATACATTATATATTGTATATATTAGGAAATGTTCTTGAGATAAAGCGTCTTAGTAGCATGCTTTTATTTTGGTAAACATTTGCAAGTTTAACTTTTTGAAACTCTTGAAGTTTGTTTTGCTTTGTTTTTCTAAACATAAAAAGCTATTTTGGCAAACTTGAAGAATTATTCTGATATTTAATTACTTCTTTTCAGTTTCCTTCTAAATTCCTTCTGATATATAAGCACTACAGATAAGCATAAACTTTTTTTAATGCTGTTTGTCACTAGCTATACTAAATTACTTTTGATTTCCATTATATTGAACTTCAGGAAGAGGATGATGGTTTTCAAAGTTGGTAATTTTTGATATCTGTTTATCATGGACCTTTCTAACTATGTCTGGATGTTCATTATTTGCGAATACTTTTGAATGTTGTCTTACGCTATGATTAGTCCATCCCTCTCCTCAGCCCTTTTTTGAGTGTTTTGCCTGAGCAGAGGCCTCTATTGATGCATCTCTGCCTCCTCTCCTTTCCTATCCCTGCAGGGCTCACCAGGAGTGGGTGGGCAGGTCTGAAGGTGGTCCAGTGGTAGGCCACAGGATTGCTTCTATAAACTAAAAAGGGAGAGCTTCATGAATGAGTGGATTACACTGGGGCATGAAGCTCTCCATGCATTCCTACTTTGAAAATTGCAGGTGTAAATTAGCAGGCCTAGCTATCTGAAAAAAGAGAGCAGTAACCTATATTGTTGCTGAGTGTTAATTTCTTCTGGTCACAATATTGGATGAATGGATGGCATACTGGAAAAGCACCTCTGGGAGAACTTAGTGCCAGTAGTCAGTTTTTGTTTTTTGGCACATTTGAGTTCAGAGTTTATAGCAGTTATTAATCAACATGTAATTCTATAATACCTGGCTGAAAGGTTTGTTAGGAGGTGTCATAGAGAAGCGGTGATTATATATCCTTGCTTTTCTTGAATAGTATGAAAAAGTTAACTTGAGGGCTTAAAAGGGAAACACTGAAAGAAACGGAGGAGAAATGAAGAGTATGGATAAGCTACACATTTCCTATGATATTCCTTAAGTAAAACAGAATTAGTGTCTTAGCTCTGACTGCATTAACAGATGTCATATGCTGGATAGGTTAAAAGACAGACATTTATTTCTCACAGTTTTGGAGGCTTGGAAGTCCAAATTCAAGGTGCTGGCCTGTTTCCTTCTGAGGAAGGCTATATTCCTTGCTTGAAAACAGCCACCTTCTTCCTGTGTCCTCTCATGACAAAGACCGACTGAGCAAGCTAACTGGAATATCTTCTTATAAAGATACTTACTAATCCTGTTGGATCAGTGCCCTACTCTTAGGACTTCATTTATCTTAAATTACTGTCATAAAAGTCTCTATCACACTGGAATTTAGGACTTCAACATATGAATTCTGGAGAGATGCACACATTCAGTCTACGACAGTAGCTTAAATACTATAGCCTTGTTTTATGAACTAACGGTGCAGGTGCAATGCTGTATCTATGTTTAAAGAGTATTAGATCACTAAAATATTTTTAAATTTCTTAAGAAGATTAACAAATATGGTAAGATTAAAAATTTAGGATGGATTTTAGTTTGTCTATATAAAAAAAAGTTGTTCATGTGATTTTTCAAAGTATTCAAATAGTGCATAATTTAAAAATACTAACCAAAAATCACATTAAAATAACTTCTATTGAAACCATCTAGAATGTGTCATGTTCATACCCAACACCCAGGACAAGTCACCGCATCACCTTTTTTCCTGAGCTGCATTTCTTGCATTCTAAAGCCTTTTCAGACAGATATTTCTGATGGACAACAAATATATTATGTCCTCTGAGCAGTAGTGTCATGGTCCATAATTCTAGAAATCTTGAACCAAATGTTACCCAAAGGTGACATAGAAACAATTTATTAAACATTTTACAGTAACTAAACCTCAAAGTACCTTAGTGCAAAATAGTTGAACTGACCACTATGGTTTCCTTTCAAAATTTATTTTAAAAGTATGTTTTTGCTCCCTCTGAGCAGCATTTAGAGAACACACAGGGGAAGTGAGTTCTGCCACAGTGCCTGTCAGAATTTACTAAGAAGTAAATTTTGACAGCTTAAATGTAATTTTATTTTTAAAATTGTTTTTTGGGGGCCCAAAAATAGTAGATTTACAGTTATATTCATTTTTTTCTTTTGCTTATGGTGAGCATCAAATGGGTAACTATTTTTGTTAATCACTTTATGGAAATTAGTATCTATTTTTTGCTTATCGGAAGCAACAGTTTAAAAGTGTTTAGATTGAGAGCCACAGCTCAGGGTCCTCCCACACTTCTCCCCCGGAAGCAGAACACCCTGTTCTGTGCCCCTAAGGTGTGTGAGTCTAGGGACAGGTTCCGCAGTTAGCCTGTGGAGTCCTCTATGAGTTTGCAAGTTCCCATGCTCATTTGTCACACATGGAGGGAGGAGGGTGCACTCCTTTCTTTGAGACACTTAGTCCTGTGGTTCTCATTTTAACTGTGGCACAGTGCAGGGATTGTTCATGACATCAAGTCTCTATTGGGTACTATACCCTGTAGATTCTTGACTAAGAATTTTATTCTTTTCTACATATCACTTAGGTTAAATTTTTAATTAGATCAGCTTGCATATGTTACAACTTTACATAAAATTTTAGAAGTATACTTTACAAGAAGTATTAGTTCATTTCTTAGGAATGTAAAATGTGTATGCTCTCTTCCCACAGCCGGACCATATAGTGGTTTAGGCGAGATAATCCATCGGGAGAGCGTTCCAATGCACACATTTGCCAAGTATCTCTTCACCTCTCTCCTACCTCATGATGCTGAATTTGCATACAGAATTGCACTGAGAGCAATGCGGTACGTATTCCCAGCCCAGCCAGGCAGAAGCAAGCCAGAGTTCCCACTGGGAGAAAAGGCTGCTAACTGACCTTGTATTCATTCATGTTTCTTATAGGCAGCAGAAAAACTAAAGATACTTGTTTAAGTTTCTTGTATTGTTATGGAGGTGATTTGTTGTTTTCATTTTGTTTTAAAATAAGTGAAGAATTTATATTTAACTGCTATCACACTTACACCTGTCCTGGCTCCCCCCCCCCTTTTTTTTTAACCATAGAATTTGGGAATAGAGTGCTATTTCAGGTTACTGTAATCATAAGAAAACAATTGAAGCCTTCCTGAAGGGTTGTTTTAAACAAATTCAGTTTTTTAAACCATGGTAAATAACAAATATACTTTACCAAATATAATAATCAAGGGAGACCTTCAATATCTGTTACAATTTCATGTTCCACCAGGAGTGTAGCAAGGCTGCTATGTCAGCAGGACACATTTGTGAGCAGCTGGAAGCCAAGAAAAGATGGGATGGTATTGGGAGGATCTGTGATGATTTCCAACTCCCCGTCAGGCCCTCTTTTTTGATAATGACAGTTAGAATATATTTTCTGCCATGCACCTTATTCTCATGCTCTTTTTTTAAAGTTAATTCACCACATAATTGTTTTTATCATGAATTTGTTCAAGGCAGATACTTCTTGTGTTTACGATTATATTTTAAAATCTTACATATAACCTACTAAATTGTAAGGGCCAACAAGGAATATATACCTTTCTTAAAACATCATCTTTTTCTCCTTTTCCTTTCTAAAAATTAATAAAACTCTCCTGTGTTTCTAACAGAAAATACATGTTAGACCCCATTATACTTAACTTAGTTAATTATGTAAGAACGAGCCCCATATAGATCTAAAAGGTTTAGTATCTTAAAGAATAGTTGGATCCATATGATTTTCATCAAAGATTCTGTATCTGTAATCAGTGTGAGATTCAAAAACAAATCCTTGCCTATAAATTGTGAATGTTGCCAAATTACTCTTAAGTGTAGCTGGTATTGATTAGTTGAGCTATATCTTTCTTACATTTACACAATGATGGGGTGAATGTGTGTGTTTATACACTTGTGTGTCGGGTGTTTTAAGGCTGACATCCTTTAATTTGACATACTTCCTTGGTAATAGAAAGCTCAGTAAATTATTAGGGGAACCTTATAAGTACTCCTAACTATTTTTAAAGTACCAAAAATTAGTAGCTAATAAAATCAGTAGTTTCATCAAATTGCTTGAGTCCATTTGGTTTGTATTTTAGAACACATTTTTGTAATAAATAAATCCTGTCACCATTTTTGGAAGCTGAAATAGAAGTTGTCTTATGGAGACAGATGCTCTGTATTTATTTTAATCCTAAAAACTCTACCTTTTGTTTTAAAGGGAAGGATGTTACAATGCCACCAGATGCTGTTGCTACTACCACTGGTAGAACATAACAAACTAGCATAAGGTTTCAGTGTGGTTCTAGCTTATGTAACGGTATCTGCCAGGCAGAAAGCCTTGCTTTTCTAATGAATGCCTGGAATTCATTTACATTTTCCTGTGATTTCTTCATGGGGGAAAACAGCAGGGTACAGAGGAACTGTATTCTACCTTTTTCTTACACCTGCCACACCTCCCCCAGCACAGGCCTGCACGGAAGGGAGATAACAAAGCCTATGTGAGCTTCTGGAGGCAGCCGGGAGAATAGGCAGGAGAGGCTGAGGAAGGATGTCTGCAGCATTCACTTTCTCATCTTTCCAGGATGGTGACCAGTTTCCTTTCTGGTTGTTCTGGCAAGATCTGCCACAATACTTTGAGTCTTTAAATAAGCTAAGCTGCAACCCTGTAAAAATGGTTGTTATTTAATTGCCTGTTTTGCCACCCTTTTCAGTGCTGACATCTCTTTATCCGTAGATGAAAGTAGAACAATAGCTGTTCTTAGCTGAGGCCCGGAGGCCAGCATGCCCTTTCTGACCCTACTAAGTCTTGGGCTCCAGCTTATTCCCTGGGCCCTGACTTAGATGAAGGCCAATGTTTTGATTATTGTAAGGAATCTCTTCAGTTCCAACTACTTCACTGATCTCTTTGGTACTTAACATTCAGAAGAGATCACTAGGCATGTGCTTTGTTTTTGAAAATTGTTCATTTTGTCAGCCTATTACGATAGATTGAAGCCAGAAGTTACACTGAATTTATGCAAAACTGTCAAGGAACAGGCACTTAATGCAGTTGTGGTCATTTTGTCTGAGATACCAATAGAACACATTTTAACTTCAGATTCCTGCAGTCAATAGGAACTAACTGCAGAAAATAGGAATTTGTGAAAATAGGTCATTTTTTAAATTTCCCATTACAGGTAAGCTTACTCACCTGAGCTACCTACTGACCACTGCCTATGCCAGTCTCAGGCTTAAATACCCATTTTGCTATCAGTTTTTAATGATTTTAATTTTTTTAATAAAGAATGAGATTTAACAACAGTAGGTAAACCTCAAAACTTGTGTTTGAAAGTTCTTCAGTGTTAAATATCTTAATTTTCCGAGTACCGCAGTTTTCTGAATGATGCCAAATAAAGGAAACCTCTTAGGTTGGAGTGATGAGCATTGACAAGGTGACTTTGGCCCCCAGACAGCAGAAGGTAGCTGTACCAGCTCTTCCTGAACCAGGGTTCTGAACAGTGGCCTTCAGAATGTACCCATTGCTCTGGTTTCTGCCAGCCATTCCTGAGGCCAAGGTCATGCGCCAGTGGTAACTAAAGGCCACCTTCCTTGTCTTCTTGTTATAGGTTACTAGTATTGGAATCTACTGCTCCAACGGGAGACCTCACCCGCCCACACCACATTGCATCAGTTGTTCCCAACCGATACCCTCGTTGGTTCACTTTAAGCCACATCGAATCCCAGCAGTGTGAGCTGGCATCCACTATGCTAACTGCAGCCAAAGGTACAGCAGTGTCCAGTGGCCTCATATTTGTATGTTTGTTTGCCTTTTCAAAAAAGTCTTTATAAAAAAAAATCCCAGTTCTCCACAGTAGTATTAATATCAGATGCATTGTAAAGGTCTTTTTCTTATGTTGAGCTTCATGTTTTGCTCATGCATGAAGTAAAACAGGTGCTACTCACTTGCACCTGGCACTTTCCTTATTTATCAGCATCATTAAACTTGCTTCCAGCAGGGTTTACATTAGTTGCCATGCCAGAGAAGGTAAATGGTTGAGATTATAAAACAGATCAAAAGTTTTAGTTACTTTTTTTTTTGGTCCTTGAAATATTCATCAAGACGATCTAAGAAACTAGAAGCTAGTAGAGCATGAGGATTCTGGTTGTATGTGCTTTTACTCACTGAGGGTTGTATCTCAGTGGCTCTTTCTGTGATGCTGAGATTCATAGACATTGCAGTAACTATGGACATTAGTTGTAACATCTGCTCCATCTGTGGATATGTCAGGTAAATTGTGCTTTATGTTTTGTTTTTGTCCTTTTTTCCCTCCCACTCTGTGTGTGTTTGTTGGCTATATGTTGTTGTTGTTTTGTTTTTTTGCTTTGCTTATATTTGATTTGGTTTGCCTTGGGTTTCCCTTGTTCATTGCAGGCGATGTTCTGAGGCTGGAAACAGTATTAGAATCTATCCAGAAAAACATTCACTCCTCATCACACATCTTCAAGCTTGCCCAAGATGCATTTAAAATTGCAACTCTCATGGACAGTTTGCCAGACATCACTCTTTTGAAAGTGTCTCTGGAGCTGGGCCTGCAGGTACATGGCTACTGGTCTGTCTTGGGGCACTAAGGACTGCTGATTACAGACACTTCTTAGAGTTATTTTTGTTTGTTTGTATTTTTAGTGCAGGTAAATGACTCTCAGAACACAAATCTGTTAGATTTCAGGAGAGAGCTCTGTATATGAATTTCATAGTTGCGGTCACTTTCACGCAAACCAACTGCCGTTGGAGGGACTATACATTTAGAAGCCTCACTTGTGTTTGTTCCCAGTTTTAAAAATCTGAATTATAACTTTAATATTGTTTCTCCTTTGAAAGAAGGGTGAAGAATTATTGCTGGCAAGAGACTTGAGTAATTGCAGCATGTGTAATATTCAGCTGTGAGGGTTAAGTTTTTAGAGGAAGTATGGATTTTTATTGATGTTTGCATTGGCAGTTCTAGCTCCCCTTTAGTAACCCTGAGAAAATTAAGTAAAGGAAGGATAATTGGACCAGGGTCCAGTTTCAGATTTCAGTTAGTCCTACAGATAGATGCTTGCTTCCTTATATTCTGAACAGGAAATGAAAAGTTTGTTTCTACTTTTCTCATAAAAATCTCTATTAGCATTTTTAATTTTTCTTATTAAAAAACAATGAAAGAATGTTATATCTTAATTACCTAAAGTATGGGAAATAGAATGCCATAATTAGATAACTAATTTAGTTTTCCAGTATAGATTCCTTATAGTGATTATATTAATAAAATTTAAAGAATTAGATCTTTGGAAAATATAGTTATCACTGTAACACGCAGTTCTGTGTGAGCAGAGGATATAGGAGATTGTTTTTATTAAGCTATAAAACAATTTAGAAGTTTCTTTTTAAAAATAAATTCTTGGTCTGGGGATTTTGCTCAGTGGTTCTGCCGCCTGCCTCGTAAGCACAAGGACCCAAGTTCAATCCCCAGTACCAAAAACAAAGACAAAAATAAATTCTTGTTATTTGGCTTATTTTTATTATAATTTGCCTCATGTTAACAGGCATGATACAGAAAGAAACTTTAATGTTATCAGTTCTAAGTAAATGGCAGAATAGTGAGAGTTTACTCCTTGAGCCAGTCTTCCCAGGACCTAAAAAGTAATGCCCCAGGGCATTTTTGAGGCTTTTTTGGGTATTACACCCCTAGTTGTTTTGAATTAAAAAGTGAACAGAATAGGAAGAAGGTAGGTAGGTTCATTTTGAGGCTTATTAGAAAGTGAGAAAAAAAATCAGATTGCAGATTTTGCCAGAGATGATTTTTTTCCCAGAAAGTAAACAGAAGAGCTGGGGATTTAGCTCATTGGTTCTGCCACCTGCCTTGCAAGTGCAAGGTCCGGAGTTCAATCCCTGGTACCAAAAAAAAGAAAAGAAAAAAGAAATACCAGAAAGCAGCAGCCAGAGACTAAAGAAGTAGTAACTACAATTTTTCTTTTTAAATACTTCTTTATCATAGAAAGTTCTTTCTTTAAATGAATTCACAAGAAACACCACAAATTGAACCATGGAATATTAAAGCTGGACAGAAGAAGAGGGCCTGGAGTATGTCTAATGCTTTTTCTAGTTCTCTGGTTTTCATATGAGAAGAGATGGAGTAATCCATGGGCTGCCTCCTACCAGGAAGGGCGAAGTCAGGGATGCCCATGGGCAAACCCAGGTGCATATGCATATCTTTGATATAAAGAAAGTGCTTTTCATCCTAGACAATATGCCTTTGGATTCAGTGTTTTCTTTTTTCGTTGACTTAGGGTAATCTTCCATGTTGTTTTTCTGCCTTTATAGGTTATGAGAATGACACTGTCAACCTTAAATTGGCGACGCCGGGAAATGGTGAGGTGGCTGGTTACGTGTGCTACTGAAGTGGGTAGGTAAACTGTCCAGGAGCTTTCCGTGATGCCTCATGGTAGGATTTACCATGTCATTCATGGGTCTGAAAACATTGCCACTATGTTATCTCCACTTCTTCAAGATCCTTGCCTCTTCTAGTCCCTACAGGGCCTCTGTCCTCCTACTCTCTTCACCTCGGCCTCTATTTACATACTTGTGCTGTTCATCTTCTTAACCAGAATATTTGGGGAGCCCATACTTCTTATTTAAAAGGGAATAAACCTGTGACTAAATTCTTTTTATTCATTTCATATAAAGTTACTTATAAAGTTTTCCCTCATCCACTGAGTATCCAGTGAAGAAACAACAACCTCCGGGTGTGGTTTGGTGGACTTTCAGATGTGTGAGAAATAGTAGCTTTTCAGAAGATGATCCCAGTTTTTTATTTCAATTGGTGAGACCCATCAGCGTACTGTTTCCCCTTTTCTATAGTAGATCAGTACCAAGAAAATTGCATATTCTCGGTAAGAACACAACATAAATAAACACAATGGTAGCTATTTATGATAAATATTGATTAAACTGTCTTTCTGTTTACCTTGCAAATATATGGATATGCACCTCTTTCTGAGAAGACCCTGCTATCCCAGTGTTTAGATACCGAGAGGATAGTAGATCCTGTAAAATTCTTATTTTTCTTTCATTAATATGTAACAGTTTGTTTTGAGGACCAGACACTTGGTCTCAATATAGAAATTATGTTTAGGTCATTGAAGTCATATGTTACTGAAGCAATACAAAGATAATACAAGTTAAGAACTGCTGTGCAATTCCTGTCTCTGCACCAAGGTACACACCTAAATTCTCTCTGTGACTTATTATTACCTTCTCATCACATCACGTACTTTCAGGATTTTCTTGGGCATGGTACATGTGGGGTTTGTGTACTTAAAATGATTAAATACCTTTTTAGCCATTGCTAACAGCTGAGTCATCTGTAGATCCGCTTCTATTCTATTCTTTTTCTTGTGATTGCAAGTGACATTTTCTTGCTTCTTTGTGTGTCTTAAAATTTTGTATTGTGTATTCTTTAAAATTGCCCACACAAACAAAAAAACACCACACAGAGTCCCTGTTTGGGTGAGTGTTATACTTCTGCCTTAAATTCTCTACTGGGTAACTCACAGGAGGCTCCAGTGAACTAGTACTCATTAGCAAAAAGCCATTGTCTGAAATGGCAAGCAGCACAGTACAAATACCAGCTACCAAGAGGATTGCTTCTTTATTATAGGAAGTTCATGTTCCTTTCAGGCATTTCACTAAATAACAATCTATAATAACCTTATTCTAAAAGGTTGCTCCCAGGCACCTTACCTTACGAGATTTTCTGGCTGGCTCATGTCCTGTGGTGGTTAACAATGTAAGCATTGATTATAAAAGTGGCAGTGAGACCTCTAGCCAGCCTCCTGTCAGTAACAGGGCTCATTTGTGTTCCCTGCAGGTGTTTATGCCCTAGACAGCATCATGCAGAGCTGGTTCACTCTCTTTACTCCCACTGAAGCCACAAGTATTGTTGCAACTACCGTGATGTCCAACAGCACGATCGTCCGCCTCCATCTGGACTGCCACCAGCAGGAGAAGCTGGCCAGCAGTGCCCGGACACTCGCACTGCAGTGTGCCATGAAGGACCCTCAGAACTGTGCCCTCTCTGCGCTAACCCTTTGTGAAAAGGATCACATAGCTTTTGAGACGGCGTACCAAATTGTCCTGGACGCTGCCACCACTGGCATGAGCTACACACAGCTCTTCACAATAGCACGGTACATGGAGCACCGCGGGTACCCCATGAGGGCCTACAAGCTGGCCACCTTGGCCATGACCCATCTCAACCTGAGCTACAATCAGGACACACACCCTGCCATTAATGACGTTTTGTGGGCCTGTGCACTTAGCCACTCCCTTGGTAAAAATGAGCTGGCAGCTATAATACCTCTGGTGGTGAAGAGTGTCAAATGTGCAACGGTACTGTCAGACATTTTGCGCAGATGCACTCTGACCACCCCGGGCATGGTGGGACTTCACGGCAGGAGGAACTCTGGCAAGCTCATGTCACTGGACAAAGCTCCCTTGAGGCAACTCTTAGATGCCACAATCGGGGCCTACATCAACACAACGCACTCACGACTCACACACATCAGTCCTCGGCACTATAGTGAGTTTATAGAGTTCCTCAGCAAGGCCCGAGAGACCTTCCTCATGGCGCATGATGGACACATTCAGTTTACACAGTTTATTGACAACCTGAAACAAATCTACAAAGGCAAAAAGAAACTGATGATGTTGGTCCGGGAGAGGTTTGGTTGATAGAACTTGTATGAATGGGGTGAGGGGGTGGGGATGGGAGGGATGGTTTGTTTTTACTTGAGCCTGCCTTTGTACCCTTTTTAACTTAAAGAACAGAGCCACACCGGTATTATATGTGTATAGTTATATTGCGTTTGCAGACTAAATTGTCATGTTGTGAAAGTTTGTGTGTTTTTAAGTTTTTCCCTTTTTCTTTCTTTGCTTTTATTTTTTTAATTCTATTTTTATTGGTTTTGTATGAGAGAGAGGTTAAAAAGGTTTGGTTTACACTGAGTATATGTTGTCAAGTGGCAAAAGTCCACATAGCTCTCCTGTTTTCTGTATACGTTCACAGCCTCAAAAAAATAATTGAAATGGCTTTAAAAACCAAACAAAACACCTCCATCCTGTGATAAGTACCTCGAATGGATTCAGCTTTACTCCTTTGTATCTCATCTTTACATTTTCAGCATATTTAAACAAACCAACAACATGAAATACTAGTAGTGAAAAGGCTGACCCACGTGGCTTTGCAGTGCTGTTCGTCCAGAAGCATGGCACACGATGCTTGTGCATGTGGAAACTTAGCGACTGTCAACATACATTCTCAGGGATTTATCCAAAAAAAAAAAAAAAAAAAAAAAAAAAAAAAAGAATGAGAGCATTTATTGTACTGTATATATATTATAGTATATGTCTGAATATTGAAAATATAACATTAACTAATTTATAAAAATATTCTATGTAATGCAAAATACTTGAAGCTGCAGTAGCTTGGTTTTAAACAAAAACAAAAAAACTGAGAGAAAACCTACCAGAAGGACTAAAAGTGCGCCTTGCTTCAGGGTTGGCTCGGGTGGTGAACTTCATGCTGGGCATCTGTGCAGAGCCACCTTTTGGATTGCATGGTTGGACTGAAATCTATTGGGAGGAAATTACATATGTATATATATTTATACAACTTATGTATACATATATATATGTATACACACAGACACACCACCAACAACCACTACACCACACATGCTTGTAACAGGCACTAGAATAAAGAAGGACAACAAAATACACAGCCAGAGCAGCAAGCCTTAGCATTAAGAATATTCAGTATGCCAGAATTGGGGTTCGTGCCTCCTTGCCTAGGAAACTTAAGAGAAATACCCTTTTGACACAAAACACAAAATGTTTTCCAAAACAATTGACATATGATACATTACGCCTTTGCAGTGAGCTAATAATAAGCTAACCTTTGTGCACAAATAACATTATATATATTATATATCTATTCTGCATAGGTATTTTGACTTTGTGCAGGACAGAAAGTTGTGTAGGTATGACTGTTCTACTTTTCAGTTTTCTTTCTTTTTTTTAAGATATATTTTATTTTCTCTAGAATTACTCAAACAAAAGCAGCCTTCTATCTTGCCTTGTCTTAATGCTTTAAAATAACCAAACTGGAGATCTAACTACCAAACTGTTCATTATATTATTAAAATACCAACTTTGGTTACAGTATAGTGTCTTTTCTTTAGCTGATGGTTCTGTAACCTTGTGCTTTTTAAAGCAATGTTTATGTTTTGGTGCAAAAGTTGTCCAGTGTCTCTTGTTCCCTTCATTAGAGAACATGCTAGAGGTATGTTTGTAGGTATTTTTGTTTAGAACTATTTCATGCGCTCCATTTTATTTATTATAATAGGTAAAAAGAAAAAAAAGGTTGTATTTCATCACCCATGTAAACATGCTCATGAAGTTGAAAGTAATTAAGATTTGATACACTGATATCAATTTATTTATGTAACTAAATCACTGTTTTATAAACTTGTTAATGATCAACAATTTTTGTTTTGATTAAAATTAGTTTTTTGAAAGTTGATTCTGCGTCCTTTATGGTATATCTCTTACTTGAATTTGGTGATGACATTGTTTAATAGTAGATCTATTTTGTTCAGTAAAGATTTCTATACTGTTTTCCAGGCCCTGTTCTAGGCTCTGGAAGTAAATGGCAAACAAAACCAGCCCCTGGAGCTTACTGTCTTAGTAGAGAAGACGGACATGAATCAGATAGTCTCAAGGATAAAACAAGACTGAATAGCTAATTTTTTTCAGTCTGTACACTTGGTCATTCCTCTCCAATAACTGATTTAGTATGCTTCATACTTGGTATGTTTAATAAATACTAAGTTCAAGAGAGGTTTTGTGTGTGTGTGGTTTAAGAGGAAATTATGTTATAATTTGCTATCAGCAATTTTAAGTGTAAATTCCGTAAAGCATCTTTGAATTATTGTAAAACACATCTCCAGAAATTCTCCTGTCTTGTAGAACTGCCCCCACTGTACACCTAGTAAATGCCACTCTACTCTGCCTTTATGAATTTAACTACTTCAAATTACCTCCTATATGTAAAATTATACAGTCTTTGACTTTTTATGACAGGCTCATTTCACTTAACAAATAGCAGGTTCATCCATGTTGTAGCATGAGAGATGTTGTCTTCTGTGAGGCTGTGTGGTATCCCATTTATGTACTATCTATAGCTCACTTCTGTGTCCATCAGTGGACATTTGGGCTATTTCTACTTGGCTGTTGTAAATAATACTGAAATCTGAGGGTGTATCCTCAGAGACAGACCCTCCTAATTCTTGTGGATCTATACCCCAAAATGGGATTGACAAATATTTCTTTAAAGCTACAACTTTTAGAATAATCCTGAAAATATTCTAAGTTTCTTTTTAACATGTAATTTTACAGTAGATTCCAAATGTCAAGAGGTTGAGCCAGTAGGTAGAAGTTAAAATAAGTGAGTCCCTGGTGACATTTAAAATCCCATTAATGCCAAGTAAAAATAAAAATAAAAAGTATAAAATGATACGAAGTTGATTCTTCTTTGCAAGTTTATTCTTAGTTTTGTGAAAGTTGACATTGCCAAAGGACAAATGTACATTTGTGTAGATCACTGAAACAGACATTTCATAATGAAGGAGACTGCTAAAAAGGAGACACAGCATCAAAAGAAGAAGAAAAGGCCCTAGAAGTAGCCAAGACTGTGAGATCCTCTCTGAAAGAAATTAGTGTTCATTGACCAACAACTTTGTATGGATGTTACAAGAGAAATGGAGATCAGGAGACGTATCCACCCCATTTTATTCCATTCCTGAAGCACCATGCCTTCAGCTCTCTGCCAGATAGACACACTGATTTGATGTGTCTATGTTTCCCTATCTCCGGTGGGCTGGTGCTAGAAAAAAGTCCCAGGTTGTTAAACATTTGAATAACAGAAATAGAAACAACAAGCTTAGATAATTTAATATTAAGAATTAGTTTCTAGTTGCGGCCCAGATGGGAATTCTGCCTTTCAATGTGCTTTATTTAGAATTATATTTGAGAATAGCAACTATAATTTTGGAGGGAAATGAATTTAACTTTCAAGAGTTAAGTCAATTGAACAAAAATTAATGGAGATCATTATAGTCATAATGTAATAGTGTAGTATAAGTAGCAAGGGAGAGCTGAATTTTTTCTAAGTTGCCAAAAAAGTACCTAAATAGCAGCTGATTCAGGAGATAAATGGTCAGAAGACCAGGAAATGTAGGAGAAACATTAAATGATCCAATACATTTCAGTAAAAGATGTGACCGAGAGAAAAAGTAAAGATGAGCTGTTGTATACCAGTATGTGGACCAGTTGAGTTTATGCAAAAGAAAACAGGTATTGGAAGGATTCTAAGTGATACATTCATCAAACATTGGTGCCTACTATGTGATACACATGGTTCTAGGCACAAGCAAGACACCAGCAAAATGCTTATTCTCAGCATAGATGCTAGAGGGAGGGAGACATGAGCTAGCTGATGATGATATCACACGGAAAAGCAGGGGAAAGGTATGTGATTTTAGGCACAGTGATCAGGAGGGACCTCTGTGATGTGGAAAGATGAACAGGAGCCAGGAGAAAGTGAGAGCTGGCCATGCTAACGTCTGGTAGATGTGGGAAGCAGAAGGGACAGCAAGTATTACTCCATGGTGGGAGTGTAGGAAGGTGCTAGCATAATGTAGAACAACCAGCAAAGAAACTGAGAGGACAGGTTGGGGTGGTGGGGAGAGTAGTGGGTAGAGGAGGTTTGCTAAAGGGATGGAGAGAAGTCATTCCTAAGGGAGATTCTAGGTCATGGTGAAGAATACTCGAAGAATGGCTAGCAGAGAGAAATCTTGATGTGACGAGATATGGCAGCTTTGTGTTTAGGACAACAAGAGAGGCCAGGGAGACCGGAGCAAATTCCAGTAATCCAGGGGAAATGATGGTTGGTTCCAGTAGGGTCGGTAGAGATGGTGATAGAGCCTGGGAGCTGAGCCATTTCCTGATATTAGAGGCAGCACGTGAGAAAAGAAGCCCTACAAATTACCCCCAGAATTTAAAAGCAGCTGGAAGGAAGACATTCTATTAACTGGAGCAGAGAAGACACTGGTGAGATGCTTGTAAAACACCCAAGTGGAGCTCTCTTATAGGAGTTAATTCAGGGCTAGATATACACATTTGGAAGTCTTTAGTTTTAAATGTTGTCCATAACCATGAGATGAGGAGAAAGCACAGATACTTTGATCCCAAATAGAGAGTTCTGAAAAACATTACTTTCCCTGGTTGAATTGTTAATGTGACAAAAATATCTGCCAGTCCTTCCTCAATCTTCCTAACTTTTAAGTGGTGGCTTGTTCTACCATTCAGTCCTCTGAGGTTATTTTTATTGTCTACAGATTGACTTTATTTTCTTAAAATAGTTTCTCCATAGATGCAAAGCAGGCTTCTGATCTGCACAGCTCAGTTCCACCACCCCAGAGGAACTTCTGGTAAGTTCTAGTTTGGAAAATCCCAAGGACAGTCATGGTGAGGCCCAGACACAGTTTGGGTCAGAAGGCACAGACATGGTCCAGGGCCCTATGGATTAAGATGTAAAAATTCCAGAGGAGAAGGATTTCGAATTGCGCAGTCATTTTTGTGTTCCTTGCTAGTAATGATAAAAGCCTTCTGAGGAATGGCTTTGCAAATATGACTGTCTTATTTTGTACTTGGTACTGTCATTCAGCAATAATTTTTTACTTTACATTTTGGAGAATATAGTTGCTTAAAAGTCAGAGAAGGAAGCAATAATCCCTATTACTCCCCAGTTTTATTTTTCATTTTCTTTTATTTTGAAAATTTAAAACATACAGAAGAGGTTGAAAAAGTAAAAAAAATGACAGCTGTGGTTTCCTAATTGTCCACCTGAGTTGGGAGTGTCCTGGTGCCCCACACTTAGGACTGATGGTTTGGTCTGGTAGGAAGCCCCCCTCTGTGGAAAAGCTTGGGCTCTGCTCAAGCAAGTAGCTCCCACTCAGCAAGGAAGAAAACAGCCTCTTCCTTCTCTTTTCTTTAGATACAAAGTAGAGACACCCTCCTAGTGGAGGAGATAGTAGAAAAAAATATACTTTTTGAAAGAAATTGCCTTACTTCACTGTGCATATTAATATTAAGAAAAATAATCCCTTCAGCTCCACTAATACATCCTAACTTGATGGACATAAGACCTCAAATGAGCATGTCCAGAAAAATTTTCCTCTTCTGCCATCAGTGTTTTTTTTTTTTTTAATGGGCTGCTGCCTTTTAGT